GGGGGGGGGGGGGTTGGCGCTGTCCCCGGCCAGCGCAGGTCGCCTGGATCTGGCCGATCTCCCTGCGATCGAGCCGGGGCCGGGGCCGGGGCCGGGGCCGGGGCCGACCCTCCCGGCGCCCTCTTGCATGGAGGGGAGCGAGCAATAAAAGACCCGGGCCTGTCGTTCCGGGGGGGACTCGCCCCGGCCGTACCAATTCCCGCAGTCCGAGGTGCTCTATCATACCCCGCTCTGCTTTGTCTCCCTTTTCCCGCTCCTCCTCTCGCCCCTCCTCCCCTTCCGGTCCCGCTGCCTGCCCGAGCCCCAGCCATGACTCAGCAGACCCCCCTGACCGAGCTCCCCGAGTGGAAGGCCCTCGTCGAGTCGGCGGCCCAGCTGAAGAAGGCTCCCATGAACCTGACCAGCGTCATGACCCCCGAGCGGGTCCGGGAGTACGTTGCCTGTGGCCCCCCCTGGCCCGCGCCTGCACACACATGCACCCGGCTGCCGGCGTCTCCCCGACTGACGGTCTTCCTTGTTTGCCTCCCCGCCCCCGCCCCCGCCCCCGCCCCCGCCCCCGCCCCCGGGCCCCTCTGCCCCCCTTCCGCCACTCGGTTCGTCGTCTCCCCCAAGGTTCTCCCTAAGCCTGGACACTCCGGAGGGCCCGTTCCTGGTGGACTTCTCCAAGAACCTGGTCGATGCCGAGGTCTGGCAGCAGCTGGGCCGCCTGGCCGAGGCCACCAAGGTGGCGACCACGGTCCGGCGGACCCTCGGCGGCGAGGCGGTCAACCGCACCGAGGGCCGGGCGGCTCTGCACACGGCCCTTCGCTGCCGGGACCCGGCGGCCGTGGTCTCGGCCGCCGGGGCCGGCGGCGCCGACGACGTCATGCCCGGCATCCGCCGGGTCCTGGCTCAGATGCGCGACTTCACCGAGCGCGTGCGTTCGGGCGCCTGGCGCGGGCACTCCGACCAGACCATGACCGACGTGGTGAACATCGGCATTGGCGGGTCGGACCTCGGGCCGGCCATGGCGTGCCAGGCGCTGGCGCACTATGGCCACTCGGGCGGCCTGCGCATGCACTTCATCAGCAATGTCGACCCGACGCACCTGGCCGAGGTGCTGCGCCTGGTGAACCCGGCCACCACGCTCTTCATCATCGCCTCCAAGACCTTCACCACGCAGGAGACCCTGGCCAATGCCCGGGCCGCCAAGGCTTGGTTCTTGGAGCACTCCGGCGCCGGGGAGGCCGCCGTGGCCAAGCACTTCGTGGCCCTGTCCACCAACCAGCGCGGGTGCCAGGAGTTCGGCATCGACCCGGCCAACATGTTCGAGTTCTGGGACTGGGTCGGCGGGCGCTTCAGCATGTGGGGCGCGGTCGGCCTGTCGATTGCCCTTTTTGTGGGGATGGACCACTTTGAGCAGATGCTGGACGTGCGTGATCTCCGCCCCTCCCCTTCGGCCGAGCTGGTGGTGCTGTGCAGCCCAGTGCATGCCCCGCCGTGCAGTCCCTTTGCTCTTTTTCGCGCTCCCCGCCCCCCCCCCCCCCCCAACTCTAACTCTGGCTCTTTGTCTCTGTCCCTCGGCCTCGGGCCTACTCACCCACCCTCTCGTACCATGCCCCCACCCCGCCCGATGGATGGCCGTGGGTCTCACAGGGTGCCAACTTCATGGATCGGCACTTCCTTGAGACCATCGATCAGCCGAGCAAGTGCGTGCCGCTTGTGCTGGCCCTTCTCGGCGTGTGGTACAACAACTTCCTCGACGCCCAGACCCACGCAATCCTCCCCTATGACCAGTACCTTGCCCGTCTGCCGGCCTACCTGCAGCAGGTACACACGCCCGGCCTGCCAGGGGCCTTTCCCTCCCGTGCCCCCCTTTCTCCCCTGCGCCATCCCGCCTGGGCACCTTGAATGCGCCCCGGTCGGATGCTGCCTGCGTGCATGTCGCCCGCTCGCCGGAGCCCGCTCCCCCCCCCTCCCCTCCGCCCTATGCTTACGCTTCCTCGCCTCGCTCTTCCCCCTTTGGTCTCGCCTCAAGTGCGACATGGAGTCCAATGGCAAGTCCACCAACCTCGACGGCCAGAAGGTCGACTACTCCACCGGGTCCATCATCTGGGGCGAGCCTGGCACCAACGGCCAGCACGCCTTCTTCCAGCTCATCCACCAGGGTACCAAGCTGATCCCCTGCGACTTTTTGGCCCCGGCGCAGGGCATCAACCCCCCCTTCGAGCAGCATGAGCTCCTGCTGTCGAACTTCCTGGCCCAGACGGCGGCTCTGATGATGGGCAAGTCCGAGGCCCAGGTCCGCGCGGACATGAAGAGTGCGCCGCCCGTTTTTTTTGGTCCCCCCCCCCCTGCTGGCTGCTCTCCCTCCTTTGGCCCTGGCGCTTGTCCCTCCCCTGCTGACTTTGCGCCCCCTCCGGGGGATCCCCGCCGCCCGCCAGACCTCCCCGAGGCCGAGCGTGACGCCCTGACCCCGCACCGGATCTTCGCCGGGTCGAAGCCCTCGACGTCGATCGTCTATCCCAAGCTGACTCCCTTCCAGTTTGGCAGCCTGGTGGCCATGTACGAGCATAAGGTCCTGGCGCAGGCGGCCATCTGGAACATCAACCCCTTCGATCAGTGGGGCGTGGAGCTTGGCAAGAAGATGGCCAATGACCTGCTCCCCTGTGTGCAGGATGCCGTCCGGGTCGCCGCCGCCACCGCCGCCGGGGACATTTGCCCCGAGGCCAGCAAGATCCTCCAGCAGTATGACGCCAGCACGGCCGGCATCCTGCGTCACATTCGCGCGGTGCACTCCGGTGCCTCGGCCACCTCAAGCGCCGGGGCCGGGAAAAAGCGCCCCGCCTCGGCCGTGGTCGATTCTGACGAGCCGCAGGCCAAGCGCACTGTCTCGCACTCGTAATGGCGCGGCTTCGCCGCCGGCGGCCGACGCGTGCACAAATGCCGCCCCTCGGGCGGTTTTCTTGTCGCGTCAAGCGGCGCTGTGTTGGCCTGGCCATGACCCCCCGGCCCCCCGCCTCCCGCTCCCGCCCCAACTGCCGCCCCTTTTTACAGCTGTGACGTTCTTTCCTCGTGGGCCCTGTGCCGCGTGTATGCGAGCTCCCGCTTTTGCCGAGTTGGCCCCTTGTTGCGGGGAGATGTCCGGCAAAATGGAGTCCAGGCAGAAGAAAAAAAGACATATGTGTGTATTTCGGATGGTAACCTGTCGGCTTGGCTCTCCTTCCCCCTTGCTCTTCCTGTCGGGGGTGAGAGGGAGAGGAAGAGAGGGCCGAGATTCACCTGGCAGCATGCATGAGAGCAGGGCAGGGCGAGAGAGAGAGGAGGGAGCGCAGAACCCCACACTGGTGCACAGGGATAGGAGTCCACCCGCCACGCTCCGGCCCGGACAGATGTGACACCCCCCGCTGCGTTTGGGGGAAGGCGGGAGAGGGAGCAGGACCTGGCAGCCCTCTTATTAAGGGTCGCCGGCCGGAGCAGTGTTGGAGCGGATGCGGTTCTGGAACTCGGCCTCATAGTCGAAGTCATGCTTGGAAATGCGGTTGAAGCGGCCCAGAGCCCACAGGGAGAAGGCGTCCGTGTAGTTCGGGTAGCTGATCATGCAGTTCTTGTTGAAGTTGCCGACGATGGACTCCTGCGGCCAGTTGCCCTCAGGCAGCTGGCGCTCCATGATAAGCTGTGAAGTGCCTCGCGCGTTAGTATCCTCGTCTTGCGCGCAGGCGCGCACACACATACACATAGAGATGCATAAAATACATGGCAGCAGGGGGCGGGCACAAAGAATGATGCGGGGGCCCGGCGGGCCCACCAGGGGCGAGACCCAAGAAAGGCACATACCTTGACAGCGCGCTTGATGGCATCGGTGTTCGGGCACCGGGCAGCCAGCAGGCCCATGACCACCCACGCGGTGTGAACGGCCGTCGAGCGCTCCAGCCCGTGGTACACCTTCTCCGAGGAAGACTATGGAAGAGACGCAAAGTGGGCGGGTCAGTGGCGCGGACAGCTGGAAGGGGCGGCGGGAGACAAAAGAAAAAAAGGAAGAGGAGGAGACACAGAAAAGCCCCCCCCCCCCAGATCCAAACGCACGAGGTACGACTCGGCCCAGCCGCCATCGGCATTCTGGTGGGCCAGGAGGAAGTCACAGCCGCGGCGCGAGGCCTCGGAGTTGGAGTAGAACTGCTGGAAGGTGGCCAGCCCCTCGAGGCCGAACCAGCCGCCATAGGTGAAGCACACGCCCCACGACCCGTACCAGCTGCCATCCGGCTTCTGCGAGGAGAGGATGAACTGGTAGCAACGCTCCAGAGCCTTGCCAATGTCCTGGGGCCGGTACTCCGGGTAGTGGTGGCGGAACTCCACCATGGCCTGGGAGCAGGCGCTGGTCAGCTCGACATAGCTGTACTCGACCATGATGTCGCTGAACACCTCGGCCGGGTTGATGGCCTCCAGGATGGTCGGGCCGCGGCGCGGCTCGTACGAGCTGAACCCGCCATCCGGGTTCTGCTGGGCCAGCAGCAGGTCCATCGAGGCCTGGTGGTCGCGGTGGCGGAAGATCCCGCGCGGGGCAAAGCGCTGCGACTGCAGGGACATGGCCGCGCGCAGGCCCTCGGCCGTGCAATCGGCCACCGTCCACCCGCAGTGGTTGGTGGAGAAGGGATACCCCCCGACCGAGGGCTCGCGATAGACCCGGGCATGGTTCGGCACATCCCGCCGGACGATGGTCTGATCGAGGAAGCGCAGCGCGGCATTCATGCTGGCGCGCACCGACTCGGCCTCCCGGTTGGTCGGGTCCAGGGCCATGGCCTCGGCCCCGCAGCTGATCATGGCCTGCACATAGAAGGCCGCGTCCCACAGCTGCGAGCCATTGGTGCCGGTCATGCGCAAACCGTCGGCCCCCATCCACAGGTAGTCCGGCACGCGGTCCATGTGCATCTGGTACCACTCGCTGTCGGCGCCCTCCCGGTGCCAGGCCACCACCATGTTGATGACCTTGCTGACCGGGCCAATGCCGATGCCCCGGGTGTTGTCGTCCTCCGCGCGCACCAGCATGGCCACCTCCTCCACGGCGCGAGCCCGCAGGAAGGGCGGCATGCAGGCCTCCACCCCACCGAGCACCACATAGGCCGAGTCCAGCACCTGCGTGTGGGGGGAATAGTTGTCCGGCGCGGCCACGGCATTGCGCGCGGCCATCCAATCCACCTTGGCGAAGGGGGTCCCCGGGTAGAGCTCCTCCCGCAGGGACCGGATGAATTGGTTGATGGGCACGGTGATCCGGTGCGCATAGCAGTAGGACATCGGCAGGTAGACCATGCGCGTGTGGCACCAGTACCGGCCGGGGTGAATGGGCAGGGCATACGGCAGGAGCCACAGCTCCGGCTGCACCGGGTTCAGCCCCTCCCACGAGTAGACATTCATGAGGGCCAGCCAGAACTTCCCCCACGCAGGGACGGTATAGGCACCATCTGATCCGGGGGGGGGG